TGCTTGAAGTTCATTAGAGCTTGATTTATTTTGGAGTTTACAGGTCAAAGTTGTAATTTGATTGAGGCTGATTGAGTTTTGGTTTTGAAAATAACTTAGTAAGATGATTTAAGATGATGAATGATAAAGATGATCGTTGGAATTTAGTTTGGTACCAACCGTTACACTTGTTGTTTGATGATATTTCTGACCCTCCTTTGCTGTTTTTTGCTGATATTGGCGGCAGTGGTAGGATGCTTGTGGCGAGGGATCTCTAAGTCCCTTTTGGCCTTTTGGTCCTCTGTTTGTGTTCTGGTTTCGAGTAAGAGATGGAAAAAGAAAGAAAAGAAAAAGAGAGGAGAAGGGGAAGGAGAAGGAGAAGGAAGGACGGATGGAAGAAGGTATCAGGGGAAAACAAGGAGAGTTGGTGGAATTTTTGTTCTTTAGTTTGTTTTTTTTGGCCTGTCTTTTCTGTCTGGAATTTTTGAGGAAGAAGGAGAAGGAGCAGAGCAGAAGGAATCGGTTGTCAGAAGGAGGGTTCAGGGAATGTTTTTTTTTTCCTGCCCTTTTCCCAAGAGCTGAAGGGCTCTTTTTATAGTAAAAAACTGCAGAGGTGGCACCATGTAATTGGCTTTGAGGGTATGTAGGAGCCGCCCTCTAGTGGTAAGTAGGTTGTAGATTGGGTTGGATCGAACCGGCTTGGTTCAGATGGTATGGGTCGAGTTGGTTCAGGCTGGGTTCAACCGGTTTGATTGAATTAGAACAATTGATTTTGGGTATGACTTTCAGAGTTGACTTTATTTTATCGTTGAATCTTATTTGTATATAATTATCATTGACTTGGGCTTAACAATGTTGTATTTGTAGTTTTGTAATTTTATTTAGTAATGTGTTTGTGAATTGTAATTTATTTTAATAAGACCATTACTTATTTCCTTATCTTTAATTGTTCTCGAAGTTAAGTCCCAAATCCACTAATCAATTTTTATTTTTTAGCAAATAGAGTTAGCTATCGCTAAATTTGTTTAATCGCCCAAATTTTAACAACTCGACCCATGTCCAAAACAAACTCTGATGTCTCGGCATTCTTAGTTTTACTAAATGTTAATCATATATAGAGATGTTTACGAGTGACTATTGTCAATTTAAAACAAACCGAATACTCAACTACTCTTAATCAGTAGTTCGAATTAGTAAATTGCCCGGACAAAATGTGGTGTCTACACCCACCATGCATAATAAAAGGAGCAGATCTTCTCAACTTGCTTCAAGACCTATTTTGGTAGCAGGAATACTTGCATCCAGAACTTTAGAACTCCCATTAAAACAAAAGTAATCAATTGAAGGCGGCCTGCATAACTAAGACTCTTTGCCCTCTATGACTGGATCTTTTGGGTAATCTTCGCCACAAGCTTCTCACATTCCACAGAGGATAGCTTAGCTAAGATTAATGGCAGTCCTAAATACCTCACTGGAAGCTTACCTTCTTGAAAACCTGAAAATTTAATAGCATTACTCTTGACCATAACAGATAGACCATCGAAGTAAACTTCACGTTTAGCAGGATTGCACTTGAGTCCAGAGAGCAGATAGAACTTGAATAATATGTTCTACACTTTAGATATAGCTATGGCGGATCCTTTAGTCAAAATAAGAAGGTCTACGAAGCTCAAGTGGGTAAGATTCACTTTTTTCACTGTGGATGAAATGACAACCCACCAGCAGTTGCACCATCATTCAATAACAGAGAGAAACCCTCTATGGCAATGGTGAATAGGTAGAGTGATAAAGGATCACCCTGCCTACCCCCCCCCCCCCCCCCCCCCAAGCCCAAAGTAACCACAAAGCCCACCATTCATGCTTATATTGAATTCCACGATCTTCACACACAGCTTAATCCAGTTTGTAAAACATACTGGAAACCCCATTGTCTCCATCATCAAGAACAAATAATTCCAACTGACCGAATCAAAAGCTTTAACAAGATCAACTTTTATAGCACACCGTGATGAAAGATGCTTTTTATGATAACCATTGATTAACTCGTGACCCATAAGGATATTGTCTACTACTCTTCTACCCTCTATGAAAGCCGATTGATTACCACTAATTACTTTTGACAGAACCTTCTTTAAACGATTGGCCAGCACTTTTGCAATTATCTTATATAAGATGTTAATGCACGAGATTGGTCTAAATTCTTTAAGAGCACAAGCAGATGGGACTTTAGGCAAAAGAGAGACAATAGTGGCATTGATACTACCTGACAATCTTCCTAAGGCGAAGAAATCTAGCACTCCAGCTAGGACATCATCACGAATAATTGGGCATGCTGACCTGTAAAAACCAGCTGAAACCCGTCTGGTCCTAGAGCTTTATGAGGATTCATATGGAGCACAATATGATGTATTTCTCCCTCAGTAACCGGACAGGTAAGAATAACAATCTCCAGTGGTCCAAGCTTGTTTTTCACTAAAGACTCCAATCGAGAACGGTCTGGCTTCACTAACGGAACACTAGCCCCAAACAAATTTTGATAAAAGCCTGTCTCCTCTATAATTCTGTCGATATCTGTAATCTCTTCCCCGCTGGCAGTAATAAGCTTCCTTATTGCTTTTTTAGCCATATGAACCTTTACTGCTTGATAAAAATATCTAGTGCTTTTATCTCCGAGATCCAAATAATTCACCCTTGATTTTTGCTTATACAATCCTTCTTCTGCCTTCTGAAACTCATCCAATTGAGCTTGAAGCACAAAGACTTGAGCAAAGGTCTCCTCAGAAGGAGCATCAAAGGCGTTTGAACGCGCAAATAACAATGCCCACTCAGTATCCTTTACCTTAGCACTAATATTATCATATTCATCTTTGTTGAGCTTCTTGAGAGCTTTCTTTGCCAAATTCAACTTTGTTTTCACTTTTTCTATTGGATGATTTTCCACCTCAGTATCCCATGTTTCTTGAATCAGTGGCATAAAATAAGGATTACTAGACCAAAAGTCGAAGTATTTAAAGGGCTTTGGAAGGGTTTTCTGGACCGGCTTTGAAGTTACCAAAATCCCACAATGGTCTGAGAAAGGAACTGGCTTAACCTCAATCATACATTCAGGGAACTGATCAAACCAACTCTCATTGACAAGTGCCCTATCCAACTTCTTTGCAAGCGGGCTCCTCTCTTGATTATTTGTCCAAGTGAAGAATGGCCATGTAGCTTTGTGATCAAATAATTTAATCGCAGCAACCCACCTACCAAAATCCTCCATACAGCTCGTAGCTTCACATACCCTGGAGACTTCCCCTGGCTTCAAAGCTGCATTAAAATCTCCCCCAATTAACCATGGATGATTGCTCACTTTTACCTTTGCTAATTTATTAGTGTAAGTAGCCCTCCTTTCCAGCTCATCATTTGACCCGTAAACAACAATAACAAAACAGCTTTTACCCTCCACTGACTTTACCAAACAATGAACAAATTTTTTGCTATGTACTAAAACCCTTAAATCCAGGCTCTCCGAATCCAAAAACAACCAGATTCGACCCAGATCACTGTCAACATAGTTCAAATGCTTCTTCCAACCATAAGATACCTCATATGCTTTATTCTTTCTAACTCTAGTTTCCAAAATAGCTACCATATCTACTTTATTCTACCTAAGGATAGAAAACAAATTCTTACGCTTAGAGGGTTTGTCGAACCCTCTAACATTTAGAAATAAGACTATCATTTGGAAGTGGAGGGCAGACGCCCTCCCTTCTTTCCATCTTTCATAGGAGCTGCCTGTAAAATAACAATTGTGCCTTCCTAACCCAGACCTTCTTTCCATCTGACACGATTGGAGCATTCGGACCCTGAGCAGATTCCTTCCTAATCCAGACCTGCTTATGACATTCACAAATGCCAAACATTTCACACGGCTTACACACAGGAGGTGAGCATAAGAAACACCGACCCTAATAGAAGTATCATCATCAGGCTAAATCAACACATGATCCGGAAATTCCCCCTCAACTCTCAGCTCAACAAGAATTTTTGCATACCCCAACTGAACTCCTGTTCTAGTGGTTTGATCAACACCCAGAGGCACTCTAATCCAGCTAGCAACCCGGCTAAGACCTTGGTAATTAACATATTCAAGAGGAAGATTGGAAAAACTAACCCAAATGGGATGAGCTTTCCTGCCAAGGCCTTCCACGTCAATCCCAGGCGCCCATGGGCGGTGATAGAGGAGATTGTCAAGATAGAACCACATGCCACTCTCCAATATCCAGTCGCATGTCGCTTGCGAAGGCAATTGAATCAAAAGCAAATGTTCACCCAGAAGAGAAACTATCATCGACCCATCGCGCTTCGCAGATCTTATTCGCCCATCGGCGAAGAACCATAAGATCCGGCTTCTGATGAAGAAACTGTCCTACGAGGCTATGCTTCCATCGGATCGAGCCTTACTCGCGAACGATTATAGGCATCCGAAAACCCCCTTGTAAACCTCCAGCTTCATGTAGGTAAGCCTGTTTGCTTCCGAAACGCCAATTAGATCTGTCAGGGTTCGTTGGAACACCCTGGGCTAGAAGAGACGCCGACACTCCAGAGGAACTCATCAGCAGAAATTAGAAAAAAAGAGAAGAAAGAGAAGCACTACCGGTGCAAGTGCCGGCACCGCAGGACCGAACCCTATCTGGAAATCGACCTTGTCAAGAATTCAGGAAAATTTTCTCTCATTACTTTCTCACAAGAATTCGCAAGGATAAGAAATGAAGTATTGTGTTTCATTTTTTTTTATTTGACAACATTATTGCAAACTATCTAGCATAAATATGATATCCCTTAAATCCTAATGTACTCTGATTATACTTGGGCTTAAACTTAGTTCAATAGAATCTGGACCATTAATTGGTCTAATGGAAAGCCCATAATCAAACCCATAAGTAGTGGAGGCCCAATTCATATTTGAAAAAGGAATCAAATTTGCCGTGAACATCCAATCATATTCGTCCCATCAAATTTTCGTGAAGCTCCACGAACCATTCATAACCTTACACGTGTCATCCTACCACGAAGTACAAAAACTGAAAAAGCTGATAGATAACCCAGATACTTTATACAAGAAAAGGATATAGCCCAGATCCTTCCTGCACAATGAGCTGCTGATCATCCACCGCCAACATGTCCATTTCCACAACGCTCCTTTCTCCATCGCCGGCGGCCACCACGCGCCTCCTCTTCCACTCCCCTACCGGGCCGGCCCTCTTCCTCAGACCCACCAACGCCACCACATTCCTCTGTCTCTCCGCCCCCAGGGTCTCCGTCGACAACCGAACCGGAATTCCCGCCGTTGCAGCCGTCGTCGTCGAGGAGCCATCCACTTCTAAGCCCGAAGCTGCAGTGGAAGACAGCTCCAATGGAGCGGCGGTGAGCAAGTTCGTGGATGGTAGGTGGATTGGCGGGACTTGGGACTTGAAGCAGTTCAAGAAGGATGGGTCCATGGAGACTGATTGGGATGCCGTTATCGACGCTGGTAAGAGAGTTTCTTTCGAAATTAGGGTTCTCTCTCAGGTCTCAGCTATGTATGACTCTGAATCATTGTTTCAGTAGCTTTGTTTTTCGTTTGAATTTCTCTGGCCATATCTGTTGACTCTCTTGGAAAGAACCCCAGGGGATCCACTTAACCTAATGTTTAATCGTTCTGCAGCTTTAAGTAGAAGTAAGTTTACAAACCTTTTTAGGGGTCCGAACTAGGCAGAAGCTTAATGTATGTTACGTTATAATGGTTTGGATTTGAAGGTAGAAAGTTGGTCTCTTGATGAGTGTATATAGATGAAACAGCACCAAGAGGTAAAGAATCGCGTAAGAAATGGGTTGTTGTGGTCAAGGATTGAGCAGCCGCTTTCATGGTAACGGATGATTTAAGCAGCAGTTGTCTATGTTCTCATTGCTGGTATGATGGTATGTGTTTGTAGGCTTTTGGGGTGGGTCAGGAATTTCGTCCCGTGTTTCATTCGAAACAATTAAAGATCCATGATATGAATATCTAGAACAAGCTCAGTTTATTTTCCAGTATGCTGATAGTCAATATCGCAGTGTTAAGACACTGGAGGCTCTGTGTATCACACCGAATTCTGAGCTCGGTATTGAGACATATGAAACACTGAACTCACTTTAGTAAGTCTTAACTAGCAGCATTAGTGTATGATGTGATTTTTAGAGAATGAGCATGCCTTTCTAGTTATTTCAATACTGAATTCAGGTGAGTGTTTTGCAAGTTCAATGACCAAATTAGTAATTCAACCTAAACACCAGAGTTCCATGGATTCCTTACATGGTGGGGGTAGTGTTGTTGGATTGTCAAATGAGTCTCGTGTGTGTGTTCCATGGTGTTTACTCTGTCCTTAGCTCTTTTTCAAAAGTTCTTATGGTCGTATTAAAATTGTGACTGTGTTCTCTCATATGTAATATAAGGAATCTAATCCACCCTTAGTTCTTGATGCAACAATCTTCTCTTTTCTCGGAGGCAAGGAGGCGAAAATGGCTGGAAGCGAACCCTGAATCGTCGAGCAACGATGATCTTATCGTCTTCGACACATCAATTATACCATGGTGGGCTTGGGTGAAAAGATACCATCTGCCCGAAGCTGAACTACTCAATGGTCTGTCACTAATCTTTTCTTCCAAATGCACGCTAAATACCATCGCGAGGATACGAATTTGTGACTGTTGCTTCTTGTTATTCTGCTGCAGGCCGTGCTGCGATGATCGGGTTCTTCATGGCTTACTTTGTTGACAGCTTGACCGGGGTAGGCCTGGTCGACCAAATGGGCAATTTCTTCTGCAAGACTCTGCTGTTCGTCGCAGTCGTCGGAGTGCTTGTAATCCGAAAGAACGAGGATATAGAAACAGTGAAGAAGCTGGTGGAAGAGACAACATTTTATGACAAGCAGCGGCAGGCAGCTTGGAAGGATGAGAACACCAGCAGTTCAAAAAACTGAGTAGCCGAGCCCGAGATACTTCTTGCCGGTATGGTTTGAGCCGGTTAATTAGGAAATATGGTCTTGGGTTGGACGGGATCGACTCTTTAATTAACGACCCTCTTATTATAGCATATATTTATCACCGAGAGTTATTGCCTCTTGAATAGGTAACATGAGTCGATCAAACATTTCCTTTCTATACCCTTTTCACAAACACTTTCTCTGCCTACTTTTCAATGCAAATTCGAGTCAATCGAGAGATCTCCATCAACTAGACGACATTGACCCACTTATTTGGAAAAAATTCAAATTTACCACTATATTAAAAAAAATACAAATCTACCACCATTATTTGGAAACTTACATATGAACCGCATGTTGTGGTCGCGGTTTACATTTATTTAACAAACTGCCACCTGTGAAGGCGGTTCATTGGGCTGTCCTACAACAAACTGCCTCTTCAAAGAGTGGTTCTACGTCGACAATAGAAATCGCTCCTTGAGCATGCGGTTTATTGTGTCGACGCACAACCGTTCCCTCCCCCAGTGGTTGGTATATCATCCCCCGACATCCGACATGTCGGCATGCAGGGGGTGGGATTGCAGCCCGCATGGCGGACTATAATTGCCCCCTCCCCCTGTGGTTTTAAGTCATAATTTTGCCTATAAAAGGAAGCTCTGAGAACCTCAGCTCCTCACCCCTCTCCTTATTATTCTTCAAATTTATGTTGTGCACCTTACTTTTATGAGTTTTTGCGATTAACGTTACTTCGTAAGTTTTTTTGTATTACTTTTTATTGTGATTTGTGATTTTGATGATATTAATTTAGTTTTGATTTTATTGCAGATACCATTTCAAAAGTTCACGCTTGGGTTACGATGGAATGGCTATACGGAAGAGACTGGAAAGGGGGTATCTTATGTCAGTGGTAATTTTCATAAAGTGAAGGTCGCTACGAGACCGAACCTTGAAGAGCTCCGTCAAATGTGTACTGAGGTTACTTGCATGGATGACACAAGAAGAGTTGATCATATCGTGTGTCGATATCCAAACAGACATAGCGGGTCATTGTCGTATGAGGAATTTCTCATAACCACTCCGGAGGACGTAGATGACATGGTCGAATTTTTGATCGCCAATAACATTAAGCAAGTAGAGATGTTTGTTTACACCGAGGCGGTCGAAAGCGGTGTAGGTCATTCTGGAGATAGCCAAACATCTGGTATCCAAGGTGGAAGGTGGATTATATGAAAATGGCCAAACATCTGGTATGGACCACCTGGCCGGGGGGCGGTTTTGTAATTTTACACCAAAGGAAACCGCTCTCCCAGTCAACGGTTTCCATTTCCCAAAGTGCAAACCTCGCCTTCGCGGGGCGGTTACCGTGGCCTGACGCAGATCGTTGAGCTGCCGTGCGGTTTACCGTCGGATAGCACCCTCATCTGACGGTTTCCAGGAACGTCACGTGCCGCCGCGGTTTTCTGGAAACCCTAAGGCTAAGAGAAACCGCTCCTTTCCCCCACGTTCTCCTTTGAACCGCCGCTTTCCCATGCAGTTTTTGGTCAATGGTGGTAGATTTGGAAATTTTTGGTTTAGGTGGTATGTTTGTGATTTTTTTAAACAATGGTAGATTTGGATTTTCCCCACTTATTTGGGCTAGTTAACATGAGTCCATCAACATCTACATAAATAATAATTACATTGATAAATATTTTTTTGATAATTATAATTTTTTAATCATTATGATAGTTATTACGACTACTATAATAATAACAATTATCAATATAGTGTAATGGGTACGTAGTATATCTTTTATTCAAAAAATAATTGTATAGCATAATAATAATACAGGACTGCCATCTCGAATTGTGTAGGACGGTTCGTCTCCATCTAGCGGGATTCTCGTCTGATTTGATGGAGTTTAGCATTCGAATTCTGGTGGGGCAATTGACTTTGCTGGTTTTGCTAAGAATGTGGAGCTCCATTTTGCTTTTGGCAAACATTATCCGGGTATTACCAATCCATTTTTAATGGAACTATTGGCGTTGCGGGATGGTATGAACTGGTGTCAAACTCATAAATTTTGCCATGTGGACTTTTGCGGGGATTGTCAAACTGTGGTGCGACGTGTTCGAGATAAGGATGTGGCTTACGGCATTGGCAGCGCAATACTTGAAGAAGTCCGGTTGGCCGTGTCCTTTTTTACTTCTTTCTCTTGTACAATTACCCCCCGCAGGTACAATAGGATTGTCCATATAATGACTCATATGGTCCTTTCATCAGCAGTTCGACTATTGATCGACTGACGCGTTTGGTTGTTTGGTGTTCTTTGACTATATGTTTATTATATTTATGATTTATCTATGACAAAAAATCAATTTTATATAATATTATCTTTCGCTCCTCCCCCCTCCTTTCTCTCGCTATGCGCTCCAAATTGAAGTTATTAAAATATTAACTTTACCCTATTTACTCTCCCTGATCATTATTCAAAATTATCAAAATCGGCAAACGCTTGGAAATTGAATTTACCCTAAATTTGCTCCCTTTACGTTTACCCCAAACCAAGCTAGAGTAGATTGCTTGCTGTCTAGCTCATTCTCAAATCGAAGTTGTACATACTGACACGCCAAAACACAACACCAAACTGCGAGCAAGTGTAATCGCAGTCCGGGAATGCAGTAACAGGCAAGTTATATTATCAACCCGGGGTCTAGATCTACTGCTTACTCCGCGATTCTCTGTTATCTAGCAAACTAATTCGAGTGATTGTTGTTTAAAAGCAAAAGCAGTAAGAAAGCAGTAAACTGTTCGGTTTTCTAAAGCAGGTAAGAGTCACTCGGGAATGAGTCCCTAAGCCCCTTAGTTAGGTTCAATTGTAATTCCCTGGGTTGATTTATTGTTGATTAGACTGCGAAAGATCCGACAGTAGCTTGGAATCTCTTAAGCTGACCAAGCCCTCTCAGTCTAACTACCCGGCAGACGACTAGTCTTCACCGGGATAGAAAGCTGAAGCAGTAAGCACAAAACTCCACTACTGGAATTGAGTTCCAGTACAAAGCAGTAAACTGGCTAACTCTCGTATAGCCAATCTCCTACTATCGAATGAAGAAGCTCTAACAACCTAATCAGATTCTATCTATCTCAGGTTGCAGCAGAAATTGAGAAAAGCTGATTAGACTCCAATCAATTCAATAAACATGCATCATTCGATTAAAATCAAACAATAATATCATCCCAAGTCATTACAATCAAATCCCTAACAAAAGGAACTAGGGTTCTTCATACCCAAGTGAGAGAAAGGTTCTACTCCATAGAGAGAGAAAGGAAAACAGAAATCAGAGTAGTCATTCTCATAAAGATGAGGAAAATCTGCTCTGGGATGTCAATCTTCACTCCTAGGGACGCAATCTGGGCTTCAATGATGAGAAATCCACTCCAAAATAGCTCCTAGGGTTTGTTCTTCGCTCTTTCTCTCTCTAAAACTCTGTTTTTTGCTCAGAAAATCGAATTCCTCTTCCTTGGCTCGAATCTGCCTCCAAAAACCCGACTCTGGGCGAATTACGGGCAGAATTACGGCCGTAATCACGTCCTGCCCGTAATTCGCACCAAAACGCACGTTTCACTTAAGCTGCCAGGAGGAGGAGATACGCCCGTAATTTCCCAATTACCGCCAGTAATTTGGGAATTACGGTCGTAATTCTTAGGGTCTTGCCCGTAATTTTATCATCGAGAGGAAATTCTAGGGAGAAGGCTCGGCCATTAATTTACGGGCATCCCCTGGCCAATTACGGTCGTAATTTGGCAGGGGCTGCCCGTAATTCTGTCTGTGATTCGCCATCTGACCTCCAAATGACCCGAAACTTGCGCCTATCCACCTCCTTACTTGCTAGGACCTGAAATACGACAAAACAACACAACCTAGCGTAAAATAGGCCAAGGAACAATCAATTCGAGCCAAAATGGGCAGGAAACCAGAGTGAAAACACGTGCAAATACGATGCTATCAAATTCCCCCACACTTAACTGTTTGCTTGTCCCCAAGCAAACCAAGTACTACACAAGGTAAGCTCACATATTTCAGTCAAGCAACATCGGGGACAAGTCATAAAGGCACAGAACACATGAATCATACTGGTTTTCAAACATCAACACATGAACAACTTTAATAGCAACCTAGACAACCACCACAAAGGACATTCGAGTGCAGCAAAATCGAGCAACGGAAGAGTTTCCCCTCTGTTCACCAACCAACCGAGACTTGACTCGACCAGTCACTCAAAACAGTCAACTCATGCATCCAACTCAAAACATCAGAACAGAGACCGAGCAATCTAGGTCCTCACCGGGGTACAAGAGTATAGAGAATATGAAAATGAATCACTCACTCTCGACCAGTGGGGTCAGGACAATTTAATGCGAAAAGTGCGCATGCTATTTCTCTCAATCCCTAACATCTCTTCACCATGATGGCAGCCTCTAAATGCTAGAGTTCACATACATAATGTCATCACTAACTAATCAGGAGGTCTTAGACACAGGTTCAAATGACTGGCTAGGGTCTTGGACATGGGGAAAAGGCCTTTTAGGTGGTGGAAGTATTCATAGCAAAAGGTTCCACATTTCCAAACCCACACAATCACAGTCAACAACCCGGTATTCCCTTTCTGCTATTCTGCAATACTCAACATGTCAAGAGCACAAGAGCGAAGGAGGCATAAACATCAGCATTTCCAAGCCAGACTGCTAAGAAACACTACTTAACGGGCATTATTCAGTTTTTTGGTAGTGGCTCTCTTTTGCTTTCAATTTTTCTTTGTTTTTCTTTTCATTTCTTAAGAGAGCCACCACTTCCGCACATATTTCAAACATCTGCCCAACTTTTAAGCACTACCTCCAACACTCACATAAACTTTAGCAGAAACAGCAGAGAATATGTAACAACCACTCTGTGGAACCTTCTAAAAGATGCAACAAGGGTGATTTTTTCGTTATAGACCAAAAGAAAGGATAACACACGGCTCAAAGGGGCTGACTAGGGGATATGACACATCAGGACAATCAGTTTTGGGCGTGGGCTAATCATATGCCCCCATCATCTTAGCTAATGACAACGTGAATGCTACACATCATGGAAGAGGGATCTATCGCACAAGAAAGAAACGAGCATGCTCAAATCTCACATGGCTACCTATATGCTCTATCTCACATTCTGATACCCTGAACTAGATGCATAAATGACTTTCAAGAACAAGTGATCAGATCAAGTCACAGTTG